AAATAGTGAAGTTAAACTGTGCATAAGCTGTTCCAAATATTACTGCACTGCACTGCTGTAAGGCTATTGTTGTGAAATATACAAAGATCATGTTATTAATGAGGAATTGTACAGGACTGAGACCATAAAATAATAAATATGTATGTTTATTGCATTATTTTGTGTCAACATACAAATTAGGAGCAGAGGTTAGCAAATGAGCCCCTCAAGTCTAGAGGTAAAAGGTAAAAGGCAAAGTTATCATAGTCTTCCCAGACCATAGGGCAACTCTCTCGTTAGAGAGAGATGACTGGTGGTGGTTTAAGTGAGGATCACCATGCCTCAGGCAAGGGTAAGGATTGAGCAGAAGTGTCTTTTGTGGTAACCTGACCTGATGTGGTGGGTGACTTAGCTCAGTTTGCTGGACAGCTAGATTGTGATGCAGAATGATGCTAACAACATGGGTCCTCAGGTCTGCTTTGCCTTCTTTTAAAATAGTCAATGACCTTGCTGTTTAAGGCAGAGAGTTCCAAAATTTCTCAACCCTCTGAGAAAACCCTCTGGTGGCACGGTGGCTCAGTGGTTAGCACTGCTGCCTCACAGCGTCAGGAACTCAGGTTCAATTCCATCCTGGTGTGACTGTCTGTGTGGAGTTTGCACATTCTCCTTGTGTCTGGGTGGGTTTCCTCTGGGTGCTCCAGTTTCCTGCCACAGTCCAAAGATGTACAGGCCAAGTGGATTGACCATCCTAAATTGCACATAGTGCCCAGGGATGTTTAGATTAGGTGGGTTATAGGGGATGGGTCTTGGTGGGATGCTCTGAGGTTCGGTGTGGACTTGTTGGACCGAAGGGCCTGTTTTCACACTGTAGGGGTTCTATGATGAAAAAAAAAGCTTCCTAAAGAGTGACTACTAACTTTAAAACAGGTCTGCACTCACCTACTTGAGGAAATAGATTTTTACATCCACTTTGTCAAGACTATTCAGGGTCTTCTTTATTTCAATCGTCACCCCTCCACTAAAAACAAGCCTAATCTGTACAACATTTCCTCATAAAACAACTCACACATTTCAGGTATCGATTTAGTAAACATCCACTGAACCACCTCCTCCTTTCATTAAGGAGACTGATACTGCACACAGATTTGGGATTTAGTCTTACCTATGAGCTGTATGAATGAAGTAAAGTGTCTCTCTTTATTTTCAACTCTCTGTATTAAAGGATACCCTCAAGGAATAGCCTTCATATGTCCATGTTGTATCCCTCTGCCCCTCACAGTTCTGCAATTATTCTCCATTTAAGTAATATTCTGCCTCTTTTTAATTCTTCCAATCAAAGTGAACAATTTAGCATGTTCCCACCTTATACTCCAAACGCCAATTTTTTTTCTGACTCACTTACCCTATCTAAACTGGTCCACTTCACAACATGCGTCCTTACCTACATTTGTGTCATTTGCAAATTTAACTGCCATGCCTTTGCTCCCCTCAGCTAAATAATCGGCATAGATTGTAAAACATTTAGGCCTCAGCACAGACAACTGTGGGATGCCACCCATCACATCCTGCCAATTAGAAAATGAACTATTTATGCGCTCTGATTTCTGCCAATTTTCTTGTCATGCAGGTATGTTTAGTCCTACATCACATGCTGCTTCTTTGCACAGTAAACTTTTCTGTGGCACCTCATCAAATTCCTATTGGAAATCTAAGTACAAGACACCAGCAGTTACCCTTTATTAACAGAATATGTTACTGCTATAAAGGACTCCAGTAAATTGGTTAATCATGATTTCCCTTTCTTCCCAATTACTTTGAGGTTTGATAAGTATGGTTATGGACCAGGCCAGACACCCTCAAAATATTTTAAGAGGGTAGTCTAGACCCTAACTTTTTCTTATTTTAAAGGCAGGTGTGAAGTGGGTGCTCCAGGTGTCATGCAACTGGTCAAACCACTTTGCTTTAAGCAAAACACAATGTATTTAAACGCTACAGTTGAAACACGAAGAAAAGAAAGCGAAATTTAGAGTAACCTAAGTGACCCAATACAGCAGCTTAACTATTTATCTGTTCCAATATAGTAACATCCTATAAGCACACCCCTTGGCAAAAAAGTAAATGCAAACAATAGATTCTTACAGGCAGGAGGGAACAATATCCAGAGAGAGATTTCAGAGAAAGTGAGAGGAATCCTTTTCTGAAGCTTGCAACACTTCTGGTACTCAAAACACCTTGGACTGCTACAGCTAAAAGAACTAGAAAAAAAAACCGAAGTGGGAGAACTGGCCACTCCCCTTCCATTGTTAAACAGTTACTCCCTAGACTCTTTGGTACCTCTGCTACTTTTCCTAAGTTTTTAGATATTTTACATGAATACCATTTATATACCTTCTGAGGCCCTCTACTTGGAAGAGATACTGAATGAGTGCAGACTTCTCCCCAGATCTGGAGGATGAATCTGTTGAAATGAATTTGGCTACACAGGTTGTAACAACCTTCACTTTCCACACTGTGCAAAGTACGTACTAGGATACCATTTAATACTTTGGAAATTTTTGGATATTTCAGAAACCAGTTCACATCAGTCATGATCAAAGCTCCCACAGTGCAATTTGACCTTTTTAACTATTCAGGAGGTTTGTTGATGAGTGTTGCATGATTCTTATTAATAAGGACTTGGTTCATCTAACCAAGAAACTGCCATCAGTTGGCTGTCTTTTCTGCTTACTGCATGCTTCAACCTTTGACCTAATAAGTACATTTAATTTTATTTAATTCTGACAATTTGGGTTTATCACCTCACCTTCCTTAGAGACAGAGAGAGTCAGACAGAAAACTTTGAAGAGTGGTTGCTTAAAGTAATAAGTTACATTCAAGCAGTATCTTGCAATCTGGGTTGGGCAGTTATCTGGCCAATTTGGCACATTATCAGAATGTCTTGAGGAATAAAATGCAAGACTTAGTTTTTAGATAGCAATTAATATCACTGTCAGTGGGTTAGATCTGTGCTTTTTCTCTTCGTTTGACAAAATTGTTTAATGCTAATTTCCTGAAAAACGTCCAGGGTTATTTTAGAGTTCCCAAAGAAGGGAGCTAGTTCTGTTTCTCTAATTGGATTAAACTTAGTCCTCCTTAAAGGAGGCCTGAGCTTAGATCACCCATCTTGAGGCAAAGCCATCAAAAACCTCCCAGCTATATTTTGAAGTATTCTTACGCATCTTCTTTCTTAGTAAAGATTGTTCTACTTTCCGACAGAGTGATTCTTTACTTGAACTCAATATCAAACTAAAAGTGTCTCTCTTAGGAACACAATTGGTGATACCAAATTTACACAATTTCTTTCACTTCTGAGTAGATTTCAGGGAGCACCTTACATATTTTAAAATAGGATAGATAATGAACATTAAGACTGTAAAGTGGTGATCTTATAAACTTGCACTCCTGAAATGGAAAGAATACAATTCCTCCAAGACATCATTGCTTCCTCCTTAAAATACTTGATTTATATTTGATAAAGCTCCAAATTTAAGTATGCATAGATATTCCAGGACCCTTAAACTGAGCATCAGTCAAGTGATCCTCTGAATTTTGTCCAGGGTTTCAATAACCTTTACCCTGTGATAGATCAATGAAGAGCATCATCAGTGTGGTTGGACCAAGGCTTTGTACTTGGAATGATTGGACATTTAATTTTCTATTTAATTGTCTTAGCTTTGTTTCCTCATATCATTTTTGTGTCCAGTGCATAATGCTTATTGCTTTTACTTTAAACTTTAAGGACTTATAACTTGCAACCTTGGACAGTCTTGACATTGCAGTCCTGTGTGTGTTCATATTTTGATTTTCCCAATCCAAATGTATTAATTTTCATTTGTTTACATTGAAGACATTTGCCAGTCATGAGCCCATTTCCCCAAAGCGCACAGATCTTTTGACAGACCTCTAATGTTAACCAAGTTCCCAACTCCTGTTCATATCCTTGTATCATCAGCAAGCTTGTCAAATTTCCTGAGTGATACCACCCGGTTATTAAGGAAGATAATAAAAAGCTACATATCTAAAGAAGATCTCTGCAGGTCTTGACTAGTGACTAGATCTCTTCAGCAACCATTAAAGATTCCCTAATAGCTAGATGCATTTACCATCTGACTCAATTTCATAAGCATCAATGCTACTTAGCTTCTTCTGTAGCACTTTGTTTAAAAAAAAGTGTTTGAAAACCTAAAACTACAAGATCTACCAGACATTCACCATTCAACAGCCTTTTTTTGAAATTAGATGCAGCTACTCCAGCCCAGTTTCTAATTGAGGTACGTTGCCAATTCAAAGTACTTAAGGTAACAGTTGAAATTGTAACAATTATAAAGTTGACTGAAATCAAGTAGTCTTTTTATTTGAAATAAAGAACCATTGCTCACAATATATGAACTGGAATTTGCTCTCCCTATTGAGAAAATCTGAGTCTTTTAAATTAGTTTACAGATGTGAACTATTCTAATACCTGCTGTTTACATTTATTTTCATTCAATACTTTTTAAGTCTATTACCCCTCCAGCAAACAGGTGACTTCCTCTGTGGTTTCTTTGATGCTCATTTGCGGTTTATGTTAAGCAACCATAGTCTTTAAAAGAAGTCTATTTATTTTTACTGTCTCTAGAGTTTGACTGAGATAGTTATCTTTTGAAGACTCTCCTTTCATATTGAGATTGTACATTAGATGTCTATTATAAATGTCTGAGTTGCTTTTGTAAACCTAGCCTAATTTGAAAAAAAAAGATAGGCCAGTTTTCTCTTTTTGCTAAAAGATGTGAAGGTATCATTCTTCTGGTTCCATGATGGTCTGAACTAAAATAACTGAAAGTTCACTTTAAGCGTCAAACAAATCTATGTTGTGATATTTACAAAGGCATTGGCATGTACATTATTACTACAGTGTGGTCAGGTGATAAAATGATGTTGAATATAATGGAACTGCTTATATGACAGGAATGTCATTTTCAGTGTTTCTTTTGTTGTTTTAGGAACTGACTAGTTTCAATTACCTGGATTTATACAAACTTGCTGACCTATTTAACCTTACCCTGCTGGAGGAAGCAGTGGTTAATTTCCTGGTCAAACACCTTTCGGAACTGCTGAAGAACCACCCTGAGAAGGTTATGGCACTCCCTTACCGGCTCCTGCGAGAAGTTCTGAAGAGTGACCGTCTGACATCGCTAAGTGAGGAGCAAATCTGGCAGGTAACAAACTCACAGATGTACTTCACTTCAACTCTCAAGTTTGTTTTGCTCACTTCTCTTCAAAAGGTGCTGATTTCTTGGGGTGCTATGGTTCCATATGTTCACCTTCCATTATTGGGTTCAAGTGAGAATTGTTTATGAATGATAATTGTTAGTGAGATATTATTTGATTGTTCAATTGTAGGGACAGTGCATTAAAGCACTGACGTTTTGTTGTTGAATGTCTATGATGCACATTTTCATGAACAGTCCTTGAGTAGGAACTTTGGCAGCTTTTTCTTTTCCCTAATCATGGGATCTATGGCCAACAACATCATCCCTGTTACTTTAAGTGATATCAGCAGACTGAGTACAAATCAAAGATCAAACCTGTGACCTTTCCAGTCTGTACTGTCTATCTGTATGTGAATGTCTTAAATTTCAAATTCCCTTTTCAGAGAAGTGATTAAAATATCAAAATGATGAAAACTTCAGGAATGGTGGTCAAATTTTACAAAGTAGCCTCAAGTAGATTGTTAAACTTCCACATTGAGATTGTACATCAGTTGTCTGTTTATAAATGTCTGAATTGCTTTTCTACATCTAGCCTAATGTGAAAAATAAGAGGATAGACCAGTTTTCTACTTAGGCTATAAAAGATGTGGAGGTATCTTTCTTCTGGTTCCATGATGGTCTGCAATACAATATCTGAAAGTTCACTTTAAACGTCAAGCAAATCTGCTTCACTGCTGGCCTCCTGGGACTGTAAAGATCTTTTCAAATAGGATGAGGGCCTTGTACTAATTGCTTATTGACTATTCATTTTAGGCCGATAAGCTTTCTTCAAAGCATTCTGCTTTGGTGATCGTATTATAGAAGGGATTGGAAAAGGGAATGCCTGGATTACAAAGTGAAACAATTCACAGGTACAATTGCGATCACTCAACCTTGCACATTCCAGCATTTTTCTGATTTTAACAAAAAAGACTCTCGTCAAAGTTCTCAGTTTTAAGAAAGTGTATTGGGGAGGGGAGGAGGAAAGAGCGAGCTATAATCCTTCAGAATAATGCTGCAAAATACCCTTGTCTGGTGAATAAATTGTAATGCAAGCATGCTGAATTTAAAATTGTTCAGAAATAATAAATGTATTTCTTTACGTTGTTAATGCTGTGAAATGGATCATATGGTTTAGTTTCTTTTTTTTTATAATATGCAAAAACAGATGTGCTGTGCAATTCTTTCTATTTTCTGTAATTTTTTTCTATCTGACTGATATACACAGAAAAAAATACAACTATTGGGATAAAATAATGTTCAATTTTATTCAAGAGAAAGGAATCTTGAGTCTTGGTCATTTCTGACTCAAAATTGGCTTATGATAGGATCTTAGTAATTTGTAATATTTAGGAGAAAGGATAAACTCCACAGAGCATTGTTAATACACCTTATTTTGTAGCTTGGACTCTGCAAGCAATAGTTGATTTGTCAATGTGTCCTGTATCTTGCTGGATGGAGAAATCACAGATTGTTGTTCTGCTTTAATTTTGTGCAATTTTAATCTCCCTCAGTATTTTATTTACGTTGTAGTATTATTGCACATAGATATTTTACTGGTATTTTATAGTGGGAAATATACTCAGATTGGTGCTGCGAATCGTACAAGTGAAGTGAGTCCATGCCACCCAAAATTCTGACAGACGTGTAGGCATATTCTAATTATTTTTATCATAAGGTGGTTTAATTAATCTAAATTTATGGTTCAAGGAAAATCTCATAATGTTCCTCTTGAATTGAAATGACTGTGGACTGAATATACATTTTAATGCATTCTTGGATTAAGGCATATATGTAAGAATAATATTATTTTTCATTAACCATTTTGCATTTTCCAGATTTTATTTGTAGTGGAAAATTAGTGTGATGAACGTTTAACCACAAAAAACATTAAACTTAGAGAATATCATTAACAATCACACATTCAAGGAAACAAATGACAGCCTAAAAAAAGTATTGATTTATTGGAAAATACCATTATTGTTAGCTGTAAAGCAATTAATTAAGACTCTGATGTTTTGAGGACACACCAAAGACAATCAGCTGAGCTAATACAGTAGTGTAAAAGCCCCATTAATGGGACTTCTGTGTGATCTGTCATTTCTTTGTACATAGACTTGTAGCCTCACTGAACAAGCCATTTGTTTTATTTTAATAATGATGTCATACTTGATAGTTTTCTTTAAAAAATGTTTATATTTTTCTGAAATAAATTGGATTGCATGTTTATTTTCTACTCTAATTTTTTTTGTATCGTTTTGCTGCTCTATGACAATGCGTGTTGCAGGGAAATGTAAAGACAGTGCCATGAAAAGCATTGCCAAGCCCAAAAATGTCAATAACCATATAGGGATGACAGACAGACAAATAATTTAGCTTATCTATAGGCCTATGTGGTTAAGGCCACAGCAGGATGATTATGGTTCCCTTAAAAAATATCAAAATACTTTTTTTCAGAATTCTAGAATCTTAACAATGTGGTAACAGAGCAGTTGGAAAATCATAGAATAATTAGCAGAGTCAATAAGGCTTTTTGGAAGGAAAATTATTTTTGACAGATTTATATAACCAGCAGTATAAATAAAAGGAAGCGAGCAGGTATAGTTTAGTTTTTGATTTTCCACGACAAATTGATGAAGTGCTGCAAAACAGTTGATATACAAGGTTAGGGTTCTTTGGAATGGGGATAATCAATTATCATAGGTTGAGCAGAAAAGACAGCAAGAATATTAATAAATAGATTATTTTCAAAAAGGCAGCGTGTGAATTTGGGAATATTGCTGGGCCCTCAGTTGTTTACAATCTGCGCTAGTAACTTAGATTAGGGCACCAACTTTGCTGATGATGCAATCTAATGTGGGAAAGTCAGCTGTGGAGAGGGCACAAGGATACTGCAAAGAGATAAAGACTGATTCACTGATTGGACAAGGAAGTGCAATTGGAGTATAATAGGGTAAAATGGATTATATTCTACGCTTCGGTGAGAAAAATTGAAAATACAGAATATTTTATAAATAGCAGGAGACCAGTAAATGTTAATAATTAGAGGCATTTGGTGTCCTTATTCCTGAAGCAGAAAGTTAACGTGCCGAAATAGCAGCATGAGGAACGGAGAATTTTTTTTATTACAAGCAGCTGTGGTTTAAAGAGCAAGGAAGTTTTGCTCAGTTGTGTATTGTTTTGATGAGAGCACATCTGCAGTATTGCGTAGAGGTTTTATAGTCTTTACCTAAAGTATATCATTGCCTTAGAAGAGGTACAACAAATATTCAGTAGATTGATTCCTGGAATTATGGGTCTGTCATAGAATCATAGAGAAATTGAAATAAGTGGGCCTGTATTCTTTGGGGTTTGGTAGAACGAGAAGTGAACTTTTTTTCAGTGATTCAACAATAATCAAATATTTTCAGACTATGAGAATTGAGTGATATAAGGATGTGCGGGAAAGTGGAGTTAATGATGTAGTAATTAACCCATGATATACTTGAATGGTAGACCATGTTCAAAGAGCTCAATCGCGTGCACCTGCTCCTCCTCCTATTTCTTATTATCTTCTGTTCCTGCTGGAAATCAGATATCAAGACTCATGTTATCGTACGTATTATGAGGTGTGTGTAGTCTATGTGGTATAGAATGAGTCTTTCACTCATAAAATATATAAAAATCATTCAACATAGAGATACTAGTAAATTGTTTGAGCTGCAGGCTGACAAATGCCCAGGTCCTGATGAACTTCATCCTAGGGTCTTCAAATATATGGCTAATGAGATAGTTAATTACTTGGTTTTAATATTCCAATACACTCTTGATTCAGAGACAGTCCTATTAGTTTTGGAGTAGATTTGTAGCTCGGGTTGTGGGTGTTGAGGTTGGTTGGCTCGCCAAGCTGGTTTGTTGTTCCGTAGATGTTTCGTTACCATGCTGGGTGACATCATCAGTGCAGCCTCCGATGAAGCGTTGGTGTATTTTCCCACCTGGTTTTTATTATTACGTTGGAGGATTAGTCCTATTAGTCCTATTAGATTAGAGGATAGTGAACATAACTCCTTCATTCAAAAAGAGTGGGAGAGAGACAAAGCAGAACTACAAACCAGTTAGCTTAATATCTATCAGGGGAGCTGTTAGAAGGTGTTTTTAAAGAAGTTATAGCTGTGAACTTGGACAAGTTCAAAGTAATGGCAGAGACATCATGTATTTTTGAAAGGGAAGTTGTGTTTGACCAATTAATTAGAGTTCTTCAACGAGGTAATACAGTCTGTAGGTAAAGGGGAATAAAGAACCGTACATAGATATACAGAAAGGATTTGTCACAGCAAACATTATTGCAGAAAATACAACTCATAGCATAGCGAGTAACATGGATGAAGATTGACTTGTTAATGTATGGAAACAGACTCTTCGGTCCAACTTGTCCATGCTGACCAGATATCCTAAACAGAATTGATTTCATTTGCCTGCATTTGGTCCATATCCCTCTAACTTTTCCTATCCATGTACCTGTCCAAATGTATTTTAAATGTTGTAATCGTACCAGCCTCTACCACTTCTTCTGGCACCTCTTTCCATACAGGACCACCCTCTGTGTGGAAAAGTTGCCCCTCAGGTCCCTTTTAAATCATACCCCTCTCACCTTAAACCTATGCTGTCTAGTTTCAGACTCCCCTACCGTTGGAAAAAGACTTTGGCTATTCACGTTATCCGTGCCCCTCATGATTTTATAAACCTCAACAAGGTTTAGCCTCCGATGTTCCGGTGGAAAAACTAGTCTATCCAGCCTGTCCTTATAACTCAAACCCTCAAGTCCTGGCAACATCCCTATAAATGTTTTTTTCTGTACCCTTTCTAGTTTAACAACATCCTTCCTATAGGGGGGTGAGTGTTTTATGTGGAAAGGTTGGACAGGCTTAGCTTGTATTTGCTGCACTTTAGAGAGTAAGAGCTGACTCTATTGAAACATAGCAGATCCC